TGTTTGATTTATTACATGAGCAATATCTTAGCAAATAGAAAAGATAAGACCTTCTTATTTTATATTCTAGCCTGTCAATATTGGTAATTTGAGTTTATAATTCGTACAGAACTATAGACTTAGTATTTTGACTTCACAAACATTTAATTTGAACCAGTGCTGCATTCAACATACCACGTGACACAAAAATTGATGTTTATCTGTTTTTTAATATTTACGTTTAAATTAAGAAATAGAATAATGTATAGTAATAAAATTTTAATTATAATCTACAGTTTTATACCAAAGTTATTGACATAAATTCATGAAATAGTAGTTAAATAAAATTCTGAATGCGAGTCAACGTATAAGATGACATGGCCTTTCACTCGTGACCCATCTCAAAAGGGTTAATTATATCATTATTATTAGTTATTTTATCTAATCTAGTCTTACATAACTTAAAAAGATCCATATTTTTACTCTTTAGTTACTTTTATAATAATAAATAAAGAATAAATATGAAAAACAAGAAATAAAGTACTTCCCCAATCTTTTTTTTGCCTTTGATTGTCAAAGACAGTTAAGCTTAATTTTTATAGTAATTAAAGTAATGCACTTAATAATTTTTATTTAATTGAATAATGCACAAAAGAATATAGACTAATAATATGCAAAAAGTAGACAAATTCCTTTACCTTTCAAAATATAGGCAATATATAATGAAAGAATGGATGTGGCAGGAGGGGTCTGATTTTCTATTTGATAGCTTTGTAACCAAACAAAATTGAAGACTGTAAAAGATATGGTTTGTCTGGCAATAATGATTCTATAGAGAGTAATTTATGTATTTTTTTTACTTTTTTGAGGGGTGGTGAATAAAATTGGATGATGACATGCTAAGAGAAAATGTGTCATGTGGGTCACACTAATGGAAATTCAGGATTTATTTTTAAATATTGCCCTACAGAATTAACAACTTAAAACTTATATACTAATAAGATATGGATTATTAACTAAGATTTTATGTCTAATTCTAATCGGTATAACAT